GCTGGCCACCGGTGGTAGCCCCCTGCTCGCACCCGTTCGCCCGCGGGCCACGCGCGCACGCAATCACGGAAGCATCTCAGTTTGCATAACATTAAGGGGTAATGCGGCGCCCCTGCTCGCAGCGTGTACCATGTCCGAGTTCGCGTTCCACTTGGCCGCCTCGGCCGTCGCCGCCGCTCCGCCTGCCTTACTGCAGCCGCCCGTGCAGCTCTGCACCGCGTGCCGCACAGTGGGCCAAATTCCTTGGTAGTTCAAAGGCGAAATGCATTGGCTCTGTCCAAATAATCTCAATAAAAAATACAAGAAAGAAGCGGTAAATGGAGTTCGTATTTGCTTTTAGAGTGTAATGTGTTCTTACTTGCTCATTAGATAAAATTATAAAACGATATTACGACTGTTTGATTAAAGTTTTCAACTAGATGTATCATAAATGTTTGAGTTTCAAAATAATTAACAATATAGTTTCAGGCATTAAAAATGTTAAGTTCAAATATTTTTTTGTTTCAGCTTGGAATAAAGTAACCACAACGAGCTGATTACTTTATTTTAACCAAAGTATGTTTGCTAGATTCAAACCAAACATCGTTAGTGAATGGGAGAGTTCGAGTTTCACAACGAGACGGAAATGAATTTAAACTCTCGAGTGTAAATAATATCTGATATTTCATGTTCTAGCAATAAGTGATGTTTACATGAAATAAGCTGCGCAAAACAACATAGAGTTAATTTTAGGTACTATATATTTTTCCGTTCTTAAACCAATAGGGAACAAAGGTAGAGTTACCCTCTGTAAATTCAATGTTGATTCAACTATACTTATCTTTCCTCCATAACAGACAATCTCGATTTCGCCCAAAATGTATAACACCATTTTCTTTACGAACATATCAACTTATTTCTTCAATTCGACTGTTTCACAATTACTCATCTTTTGTTTCCGTTGAAAATGTTTGGTCGGTCTATTAATAAAAGCGTCATAAAAGTAAATTAATAATTACTCAAATATAAATAAATTTGTTTGGATTGTAATTTTCTTTAGCAGAATTATTCATAAATATAGACACTTCACTTTATATGAAAGCTAGTTTCTGACGCAGAATCCAAATATCAATATAGTTTTTTTACTGTTCAATCTATTATTATTCTGAAACAGAATATAACTGCACTTGATAACCTACAACTTGAACATTCATGAATCTTTTTCTTCCCGTAAATTCGAATAAATTCTATATGAACAGAAACTGTGAAAAATTAATGAGTTTTAACCTGAAAAAAAAATTAGACACACTTGTAGATGCGTCTTCCGCAAATTTTGTCAGCACAAATACTGAATGTATTTTTAATGTATATGAATTTTAGATGATAAATATCTCATTTGATATCCGTAGCTATTATACTTAGCTGCGTATGCGGGAGTTTCTACTCAATACACGAGATATTCCAATTCATGATATAACATATATCAGATATTTCGTGTCTTCGGTAATTAAAGATACATTATGATTATAGCAGAAAATATGCTACAACATGTTTAGTGTTTCGTCAAGTCGCAAATTGTAAATATCGAAAAAAAAACATATTACTTATGCAGAATCATCTGTTCTTAAGTATAACTTGAACAAAACAAGCAAAACTGAAACTTCCATGGATTCTGTCGAGAAAGAAAAATGTCTTACACATGTTTGTCTTTCCATTACCCTTCATACAATCGTTTATTTAGGAATATTCGTTCCAAATGGTTAGGAAGCTCTAGTTTTACTGCAAGGAGTCTGAATACACGGTGTACGTTTGTTTGCGTGTTTGATTGATTAGTGATTCCGAGGGAGTCAACTGATAAGATCATTAGTTCCATAAGACCCGAAAGTGCAGTTTTTTGCGTGCGATGGCAGAGATCTTCCCTAACTGGTTGGCCAGATCCGTCGCCGACCTACGTGCGGGGTTCACCTCAACCAGATATCTTCCACCACTGCCTCAACCGGGACAAGCTCTAAGCTCCCTACATGTGTGGTAGTGTCGAGCTTGTAAGTGTATATAAATGTATGTAAGTGGTGAGGATAGGGCAAGGAAGAGGAAGGAATACTCGCGGGCGGTCCGTGGCCGGTTTCTTAGGGTACTTCACCGGCATTCGCCTGGTGTTAATCAGAAAAAAACACAGAAAACCACCGATCCGAACAGCCGGTCTCTAGAATTCTCCTCCGCCTGAATTCCACCTACGTAGCCAGTGTCGAAGAGCCTGTCACCGCCGGGATTCGAACCCTAGGACCACCTGGTCACAGGCACTGCGGTTACATGAATCGATGCCCTAAGCCACGTGTGGAACTGTCCCGCACCAATGACCGTCAGGAGCGACCCCGTTTCGCGTCAACCCCTCGCCGTGAAGCCCCTCCCGGTCTGTCACGCGCCGCTGCCTTCCCGCCCCCGCGTCGCGCTGCCTGCATACTCGGCTGACGCAATCGCTGCAGACGCGACCCTCCCGAATTCCTCCGGCTAATGAAACTAACTCCGCTCCCGCGAATTTTCGCCCGCCGTCGCCGCCGCCACCGCTGCAGCAGCAGCCGAGCAAGATTTATTGCGTGCCAGTTCCGCGAAGCGCTTTCTAATATGCTTTGTAGGCCACTCCACACACGAGTTCAATGCAGCTAAATATTTCTGCTAATGAAGAGCGGTATTGTCCTTTCGTACCACGGATTCTGTTTGAAGTTTCCGAATATGAATGGAACAAGCGGTTTCTTTATTTTGTACTAAATACTTTACTCTCTTTGCTTTACTATCATTTCTTTGTTTCCTTAATACTTAAGTCTGTATGGGATACTTGTGAGTTCTAAAATTCTCGAAAAGAGCAAAACTTACTGATTAGCATGTTTTGAATGATTTTCGAAGATATATATTGCTCTTAAAGGTAAACTAATTTCAGCTAAAAGTTACGTCGTAGATATTCAGAGATTTTGCGTTTCAGAATCACGAAATACGAAGCTTATGCATTCAACTCGAGATTAGCAAAAAATAATCAGGCATTCAGTCTCTGACACGGCTTTGCCAGGCACAGGAGGTTGGATGACCTGTCACTTAAATAATTTCACTTACAATTAGCACTTTTAGAATGGTGTTCATAATATGCATTTTCACATAATGCTTTTAAAGGAAAATTAATTTCAGCTAAATGTGATGTCGTAGGTATTCAGTGATTTTGCGGTTTCAGAATCACGGCACAAGAAGGTTAAGCACACAACTTTAGACAAGCAAAAAATAATCAGGCATGCGGTCTCTGACACGGCCTTGCGTCGCGCAGGAGGTTGACCTTTCACTTAAACAATTTCGAGAAAAACATTAGGGCGTGCGCCGCCGAGAGAAAGTAATTCCCGGGGCGCTTTGGGGGCCTTAAAACAATACGCGCGCGTCGCCCCCCCCCCGCCCCCGGCTGCGCGCGGAAGATCATCCCCCGGCTTAGAAGCGGCGCCGTAGGCGTCGGAGGCAGCGGCGCGAGCGGGGGGGGAAGGGGAAGGGAGTGGGCCGAAAAACGAGGGCAATACCCAGAACGGTTTGGAAAAACGAATGGTCCGAGGTAGTCCGGTTGCGAGATGACTGTTTTAATTGGAAGTAGTATTCAGGGTTTGTGATAGAGATTTTAGAGAGTATAAGAGGTGTGGTGATTTTAACACCTAAAGGAAAGTAATAAAAAATAAAAATGTGACCAAAGGCAATGTGAAGAATGTGAGTGCGTGTTTTACAACAGCAAGTTTAGATAGGTGAAGAGAGAGAGAGAGAGAGAGAGAGAGAGAGAGAGACAGACAGACAGACAGAGACAGAGAGAGAGGCAGGGAGAGAAAGATACCGAGAGTGAGAGAAAGATATTGAAAGAGAGAAAGATATTGAGAGAGAGAAAGATATTGAGAGAGAAAGAGAGAGAAAGATACCGAGAGAAAGAGAAAGATACCGAGAGAGAGAGAGACATATGTGCTTCGGCGTGTAGTGAAAGTGATAGAGTGGAGAGAAAAAATGAGCTATGATTATGATGTGAGACTGTTGAACCATTGCATCGGAGACAATCAGAACGTTTGAAAGTGACAGTAGCACAGTAAGCAAGGTTCTAGAGGGTTTAGAAGAAACCAGGAATTAACAGGTGGTTGAGTTTGGAAAGTAAACAATACAATAAATTTGCCGAAACCGGATGAAGTGACAAAAATCATAATTGCAACAATAAAAATTATTCTTTGAATAATAATTTGCTATTTATTTACAACATAATTTCAACTACAAATCAGACATTTTAGTTCGTGTGAAATTTTTTATTCCTTTCTAAAACAAAACATATACCACGAATATCCAAAAGTTGTATTTGATATGAGAACGAGATCGACTGAATGTTGTAGAAACGAATTAATAGACGGAACTAATAGTCGTTAACGATGAAGAAAATTTAAAGCAAATGAAAATGCAATTAAGGTGGCGAAGGAAAAATTTAGGCTGTAGATAAAAAATAGTTTAGTTGTTACACGATAAATATAGTGAATAAATAGACAGGGTGAATATTATACTTATTAATTTCCTTTTAAGAAAAACATTATTCGCTTTTAATTAATGTATTCGCTAAAATGAAACACCATAGAAAAGCTATGTACATTATTTTACTAAAACAAATTCTCAATATATCAGATAGTTCTTTTAAGATAGCAAAGCTTGAATGGACAAAAAAAGAATTAAATTCCATATTTTCTGCAACGAAATTCATTAGACTAGGAAGCGCCCTTTCCGGGAGCGCGTGCGAGCAGGAATGAGCGGACGACTGGTGGGTGGTGGGGTTGTTGGGTGGTGGCGGGTGAAAAGGGCGGTAATGAAGGTGGCAAGTCGGTGCCGGCGGGGGCAGCAAGGGCGAACCGACGGGGGTGTCAAAGAGCGGAGCGACGACAGTGTGGGGGCAAAGAGGTGAAAAGGGCGGGGTCGGCGGTGGTAGAATGGGCGGGTGACAAGAGCGGAGTGAAGGAGATACCAACGGTGGCATGACAGAGATGGAAAGTGCGGGGATTAGGGGGGGCCAAGGCGGGGAAGAAGGAGGTCGAACGAGAGCGACTGAGTTGGCAAAAGGAAGGCGAGTGG